ATACTGGCATGTACAACGGTTGCGCAGGAATATAGACGACTACATGCTTTGTAAATATGAAATGTCTTTTTGTTAGCTTCCGATGACATGACGTCTTCATACAAAGCCTCATAAATTTGATTAAAACATTTCTATGAATATCTCCCACACGAAGCATCGCAAACACCTGTCAACCGAGACTGACAAAAGGAAATATAATCGTATTTAAATAGGCTTAGTGCTCGAAACCACCAATCACATTTAAGAGAAGCGCTACGTACACTTTAGAGTTGGGATTTCGTACCTTCTTAAAACCAGAGAAACGACCATAAAAGCCAGTAAATGTTTAGTGCGGATGACTTCAATAAGTTGTCAACTGGGAGTCATTGAAGACAAGCATTAGGTAAGACACAAACCTCATTGCTAATAATCTACGCTGTCGATGAACTAAGTAACAGAAAATTTTACCAAAAAATTATAGGTTGGCACATAACACTCAGTGTGACTCACGAACAAGGGCTCACTTTAATTTCATGTTGAAATAAAATGTTACGTTAAAACTTAGATGAATATCAAAGCGAAACTACTTGAGCGGTATATTGCGATATGTTGCGGTAGTGGACGATTTTTCTCGCGGTATTTTGGTAGTTTTTGTAGCATTTGGGTGGTACCAAAAATTATGATCTTTCAAGTCCTCCAACATTTTCCGAACAATGTCAGTTTCCAATTCTTTTCGAAACAGGTTGAAATCAAAAGGAACGTGACTGAGACTACCTTTACACAAGTAGCAATTGTTTCGGTTTTGTGAATAATACGGCAAGTTTCAGTACCCGGTTCGATCATTTTGCCATTTACACTCGAGTAGACAAATCTAGAAGAAGACCTCTCCTCTTTAGTCGGGTCTCGGAAGATTTTGAATCCAAAATTTATAGCTGGAAGTGCGTATCCGAAAACTTTTGATTTCGGAAAGCATATCGTGTAAACGATTTGTGAAGGCTCACTTACAAATTCAAATAGTTATTTCTGTTTTGATTGAATAAAGTAGTGGTTTCGGTATGACTTCGAGTTTCGACTCGTTATTAAAGTATTGCGGTACCGATATTTAGCGGTTTTTTTTTTTTTTTTTTTTTTTTTTTTTTATTTTTGGCGATAATGGGGAATTTCCCGATTGGTTTTTTTTTTCTTTTCTGTAATGCAAAGTTTAGAAGCCAGAATGTCTCCCTTGGATTCATGTCTATTTAATAATCCAAAGCCGAAAATATTGTTCGCTTTAATTTTGACCCAAATAGTTCCACGAATTTAAGAAAGGGAAAATTACGCAAAGCATCAGAAACAGAAGCAAAGAGTAAAGTCTTTATTTAATTTAGGTTCTAAGGCATCTTTCTCGGCTAACTTTGTGTTGTGATAGAGACTGTCGTTGCAACAGGATGATTTATTAAGTATGTGCTAATTTGGGTTTTGATTGAAATACTAATCGAATGTAAAATTAGGTGGTAACTTGAAAAGCCTTGTTATCAAAACGTTAACCGGTTGGAACCGACAGTTTCCTGCGCAACCGTTGTACATGCCAGTATCTGTATATTTTCTATTAGAATTAATCACGAGTAAAAACAATATTTATGAATAAGTCTTAATAACATTCTGCAATGTCATTGGCTACGCTTCTCGCTCTCTATTCAGTTGTGGGAATGCGTAGCCATTATGTCATCGCCCTGTAAGAGCGTGCCTAACAATAGAATTGAATATAGAATCGCATACTTCAATAAAATCTCGCATCCTGATTGGCTGACAAAGCGAAGTGTTTTTAATTTTTCTTTTTTTTAAGGGCCCATGCTTACAGTTAAATTCGACCTTAATGTATGGGCGGAAAGAGGTTGGTCGACGAAGCGAGTGGTCCGCTTTTCGTGCATTGTGTGATGTGGAGTAGGACTGACACGAGCGTTCTCTCTGCGCTTCCGGTGCGTTATCAAGTCGGCAAAATATTCCTCTCGACGACCCAGAAATCTCTTTTTCTTTCTGCAAGTAATTCTCAATAATGCGTCATGATTAAGCAAATTTTTGATAGGCTTGCCACGCTGCTCAATGAGTTCATGTCTGCATTACTATTTAACAATTCTTCCACACGCGCGCGTTGGATATAAGATGATAGATAGCCAACGAGACGCGTAGCGCCGAGTTGGCTATAATCATGTCATATCCAATAAGCGCGAGTGGAATAGTTGTTTTATCAAAAAACGACCTCAAGATATTAGACAAATCCTCTCGACTTTATTTCGTAAGAAGAAACTGGATGTTACAAGTACAGATATTAGATTTGGTATATTGCCTCATATGCCATGATAATGGCTAAGCCAATAAAAAGTCTTGAATCGCATTATCCAATGGTCCAGTTTTTAATAATGATCGTTAGACCCCAAAATCACTCAAGGTATGCTTAGGCTCCCTTTGCAGGTACTTGTTCTCTCTCATCCATGATCATTAGATTGTTTTGGCACCGCTTTGCCCACGCGGTCGGTCTAAATCTCCAAAATTCCCTCGTCGTTGTCTCCGCAATAACTTTGATCCTGGCCAGGCACCAAAAATCTACCGAACTTTAATTGTAGGGTACTCTTTACTTCCTAACAGAATTTCTGTAACGATATTCGTTGATTCTTTAGAAAAATCGCCCGTGCCAACAAGTTCGGAGGGCCTTTTCTTTTAAAAGTTTGAAAAATCTGTTCACGAATTTGTCTTCTACTCAAGCTTATTGATCTGTCCTTGTACTTTAACATAAGAGCTGTTGTGAGTAGGAAACAATACCAGCTGGCATATGGGCTGTTTTCTAACTATAAGTAAATGCTATGATGGACCAGTTTAGGCATGTCATTTTAGAACGTTTAACATGAAGAAACTAATTTACATGGATGTTCGACTCATTTCATTTGATAATGTATCTTTTTTGTTTGTTTGTTTGTTTGTTTTTTAACTTAAACATATTTTCGTTGTTTTCCCCAGAAGCACCTAAGCTCAAAGAGGGGGATTACAATATTACAAACTTTTATTTTAATTTATCCAGGCTCATACACATGAAATTAGATACGCAAATTGCAATAATAACGAGTTAACCTCACAAAGCTAGGGATCGGATATTTCATTTAAGCAATCAAAAATGGCCATCGAAAAGTGAGTGGTATTGATTATAAAACTTTGTGCTTCGCGAAAAAAAGCACAGTTGACATCGTTATTTACAGACTCAGTACCATATAAAAGATTTTTTTTTTTTGTACATCGTCGCTCGATGACACGTTTTACCTATAATATTAGTAGCAGAGGCAAGACGGACATCACGTTGAGCAGCATACCTCGGGAAAACTGTTTCACCGATTCAGAGTCGACAAAACTACACTCGCAAATAGATACGTGACGCGAGATATTCTCTAAGACAAGAAAACCGATAACGTTTAATAAGTACGCAAAAAGATAATTGACAGTGTTTTCGCTTTAAAGTGGGAAGCGATACAGAATTTCGGACATGTAGGTCTAGAGAATTCCAGCTAGTGATTGCGGATGGAAAAAAAAAAGACTTTTGAACTGTAGAAGCTCTGCAAGGAAATTGAGCTAAGTTTTCTTTTTGTCTGAGGCGAAAAAAAATGTATACGTTCACTAGGTAGTTTAGGCAATACTTCAATAACGTGGAGCAAAATTCTTGACTTAAAGAGGCTTCCGAGCAAGTTCATCATGTAACCTTGCAGAACTGGTTGCCACCCTTGCGGCTTCTTATTGAACGTTATCAAGTTAAGTCGAGTCACATTTATGACAGTTGTTCCAGATAACGCTGATTCCGATATGCCAGGAGTGGTCTAATCAGACTTTCACACAAACATTTAACATAAATCTATCAACTTTGTATTAGAAATTTAGAAAATTTTCTTGTACATATCTACGCTATATAATTTCTTCACGATGTATTACTCTGCAAAGTTAAGTGTCTTTCTAACGTGATAATGAAAAATAGCCAAGGATGAAAGAAGATACGAAAAGGCGAGGATAGAAAGATATTTTCTATTGATATTGCTTTTATAGAACAAGAATGATTCTTGTTTTATGAAAGCCATATGCTAACAATAAGAAACGATGCGTAGTTTGGACGAAACTTAAAAAGCACAAGCCCTCTTTGACATTTTCAGATCAACTTCTCTTTTGTTTTAAGCCCGCTTCACTAATAACCTCTTAAATTTACCACTGACGGCCCAGTCAAGGTCCCGGAAATGTCTTTGCTTTCTGAGCGATGTTGTTGCGTTGTACAAATTAGATTATTTTGACACGGAGAAGGTCTTGATTCGAAGTGTTCATTCCTATCGCAACTCAATTGATAAGTAGTAAAATGATTTTTTACTCTTAAAATAAATTCGCGGATACTATGCCAAAAGATACAGAGAAAATAGAGGAAATCACCAGCTTGTTACGTCTTAGAAATATGCCAAACAAATAATACAGTCCCTCAGCACTAATCAAGCTCTGAGAGCGATGGAGACACGATTATGAAGCACCACCACCCAGACTTTCAAATCAGTGCAAGCTGAGCGACTGAAATACGGAAAAAATGCTTTCGACAGAGATGTCGGCGAGAACTAAACTAAACTAAACCCAGCGGTCAGTCAAACTTAAGGCATGCCCAAGAGGGTCAATTTTCGGAGCCCGCGCACAAATTTTCCGCGCGGTACTTCATAGAGAAATAAGAGAAACAACAGCAGTTTGGCAAATTAGTAAACGAAAGTTGAAACGTTCCCAGAAATCTGTAAAAGGAAAAAGAAGTGGTAAAATGAACTAGCGACTTTGCGAACACAGAGGAAATTCCAGTAAGGGTTATCCTGTTGATTTACCATTGTGTTTTGAGCTTTTTACCTAAAAAGTTAAAGCCAGGCTTCCAAAACTGTGCGACTAATTAATTTCCTTTATAACATAGCTAGCACAGCCGTGCAATCAAATTCAGCGTACGTAAGCGTGCTCAAAATCCCGATAGTGCACGCTGATAGCGTGAGCAAATCGCTACGCCAGAAATTTTTCTTTTTCGCCCGAGCGGCCCTTGTTAGCGGGGGGGGAAAAATAATATATTTCGTGACAATAATGAGTACAAAGACTCGGTCCACCAGTCCCAAGGCGAAGACAATTTTCTGACCTTATCCCTTGGATTAGAGTTCTTAAATGAGGCCGAAAAAGAAAAAAACAGCGGAAAAGGTGACTCGTCATCGGCGCCGTCACGATTCTCTTCTCTGTCCGAGGGTGAAATGCAACAGTTTTTTTTTGTGATTTCTTTTTTAAAAGTAAAGAATTTTGTGTTTAAACTGCAGTGAAATAAAACTCGAGCTTTCAACAGAAATAAAACCAATTCCTATTTTGCTTAATATTTTGCATACCGCGAACAATCACTCCCAGTATTGTTGTCGGTTTTTCGCGCACAACTCCAGCGGCTATGTTATAGCTTCTTGTGTGCTCTCCAAACTTCCTACGTGCTCCATAACTCGATTGTGCACGACTTAAAGCATGAACCAGTTGTTAACATGTGTTTATTTAAAACCCCTGTAAAACAGTTTGGTTCTGACAGCCTGAAAAAGCACCTTGTCATTAAGAAGTTCGCACATGCACGCACATTTGATCACTATGTTTCCCCTTACAATATATCAAAAGAAGCGAGACGGCGAAAGCTGATTTAGTTATTTCTTATTTGAGTCATGCAAAGTTACAAACTCGTGTACTCATAATTCCTTAATTTATCTTTATCTAACGAAATACAACAGTACATCTGACTTGAAATGTCAATTCAGTAACCTGAGTATCCATTTACTTCATTAACTTAAAGGACTGACAAAGTTTCTCAGAAGATAATATTTCTGAGACAGTAATATTATATAAAAGCTAACTTTTTTTAGTCGACCTTATTTTTAGTCCGTTCATGAACTGGTTTTATTTTAATCGTTTCAGCCCGGTTATGTGACATCTTTATAAACGAATCATCGCCCTCCGTTGCGCTGCAGGCGAATAAAGGGTGCACGAGGGCCGAACGAGATATGAGGAAGCCCAAGTACCTTTTTAAGCCGAGCTAGGACAATTTCGAAAATTATGGGGGAAATGGATGAGCTACCACTGCAAGAAATGAGTCAACTTTGGAAAAACGAAGAGTACAGGCGGTACCTTACGATTTTCGAGAAATGGCTTCACGAAAGCGATTGGTCTGCATATCGTTCCCTAAGGGATGAAGACAAGCAAACTATTCGAGACCAATCATGTAAAGCTTTGAGTCGTTTAACATACCTTTGGAAGTCTCACAATCAGGAAATTCATTGTCTGATACAATCTATTTATTACTCATCTGTAAAAGTCAAATCATTCACCATCCGGGAATTGCAAGTAATTGCATACAACGAGTATTTGAGACGTATTCTTTGTAGAGAAGTCATGAGGTTTGTCGATATCAGCATTCCACAATTCATAGAGGCCTCTGAATTCCTGCTAGAAGAAACATTCTTAGAACAGCAAACATTGAAAGTGGAGCAGAACTTGAGGCAGTGTAACAACAGACCGTCAGATGGTGATGACTACATTTGTGCTTTACAAAGGATCTCCGTTGAGTTCATGGAAACGCTGTACATATATCCATTGACTGATGATTATGCGTATCCTGAACGTGCCGGTGTCTACTTTATATATTATATTGGTAAAACTGCGCTATATGACGGAGAAGTCAAGCCTTCCATAGCCAGGCCGATTTACGTAGGAAAGTCGAAAAAGAATATCTCAGAGCGCCTTAAGGACCACCGCGAAATGATAGAACGTGCTGTAGACTTAGAGGTGGACGATTTCATTGTTCGACTCATGTTAGTGGACATTAAATTCTACGCTGGCTGTATTGAGGAAATGCTTATAAATTACTTCATGCCTAAGTGGAACAAGGAGAGGGCATGGCTCTCTTTTGGGAACGCTAGAAGCGAAACAAACAGTTGGAACAGGTATCATATTCAAAACATAAGATAACATTCTGAGCTTGGCCCACCACTTTGCGGATACGACCACCCAGAATGACTGGTCATCAAATATCAGTAACATACATGGAGAACATGCATACCGATGTTGAAGTGTAAAGGGGTAATTGGATTGATGAAATTTCTGAAACCTCACAAAACTTTAATGAATATGTCTATAAATAATCTTTCCAGTTTCATTTTCATTGTAGTATTACTGGAACTTGAATTTGAACGCCCATCTTTAGCAGTGAATTTCACTGGTCTCTCTGTCAACTGATTCAGTTTTTTCTTTTTGCATACTTTTTTTGTTAACATCGGTACCCATATCCTCTATTCTCTTCTCTCTCTCTAGTAGTATTACCGCATGGAGAAATTATCGATGCTGAGGACAAAATTTCCCTCACAGAAACATCACTTCACGACTAGATTTTACTTGGGCAAGAAATTAAATACACCTGGGGGAGGGGGGGGGAGGGACATACACTGCTATTTCATCTTAACTTGGTAATTTAAGTTTTACTTAAACAGTATAGGCTCCATTTCTTTCAAAAAAAATATTGTTTAATCTTGGGATTGACCTAAGGTTTTATCGACTTTTAACACCTTGGTTTTCTTTGCCAACACTAAATAAACCCAAGTTTTTAAATGTTGCCACGTGTTTATAATTTTAATTTGAGGCTGTTTTCATTTGTAAATAAGTTTCCCAATTAACAATACCTGAGAAAAATTACCATAACTCTGTACCTAGTAAAAGTGGGCTACTATGCAAGATCTTACTACGCTTACTATGCGAGATCTTAACATTAATTTCTTTGCAATAACTGTATATTGCAAGAAGCAATAGTTAGATGAATAACCCTATGTAAGTAAATATAGTTTGCAAATCTCAACAAATACTTCGTCTGTTAAACAAGGTACACTTCTTTGAAAAAGCTGTCACATTTTTGTGGTTTTACAGAGGTTGCTTCAATTTTCTGGAAACTGTAACATTTTTGAGTCCGAAAACTCTCGGGGAGGTCTTTTGGTGACGTGTGACGTTTAGTTTTACAGACTCGATTCGTGGAAGTGAAGTATACTGAAAGCAAACGAAACTCCAGAAAGAGCAAAGAAAAATCCACGCAAATGAAGTAACGATGCGAACGAATATCTTTTTCGTGAAATAAAGTTCACAAACGGAAGAATTTTGGACTCCACAACAAAACTGTTCCTGGATTTCTTGTTTTCCTTTATTCACTCTGATTGGTCAATAGGATTGGCCTCACCCTCTTTAGTAATCAGAAGCAGATCGTAAAATCAATCGTTCTCCCGCCTCAGGGGTGATTTGCTTGTTTAACTTCAGAGTTAGCTCTAGGCTCTGTTGTTTAGAGGAGGGTTAAGTCTCAACCTGGGGTTAGGTAAGCCTTGGGTAAAATTTTGGTCGCGTCGTTCGGAAGAAGGTGAACACTAACCTCAGGTTAAAAAGCAGGTTAAATTTGACCAATCGCGCGAGCAGGGTTGAATAGCTAACATCCAGTTAAATAAAGAATAAAAATGGCGAACTTGTTGTTTTGCGATTTACGCCGGCGGGGATGAGAAAGGAAGTTCAGAACGGGCGCTCCGTTGGAAATCAACGATATCACAGACGAAGGGCTGCATGCTCGCTCTCGCTTTCGATGAGAAACTATTTTATTTATTACAAATCTTATTGCCGGTGATATAAATCGCAACACTCGACGAAATCACGTCCCATCACCGCTCCACCAACTTTCAATTTCCCCCAGGTTTTATGGAAGTGGAGGTTTCCTTCAAGTTCTGCGCGACACCTTCGGTGTGGATAAGTTCATCGTATCCCGTGCCATTACTGGTATCATCGGATGTGTCGACGGAACTCACGTGACATTTCATGCACCTACACAGAATGAAAACAACTATGTCAACAGAAAAGGTCTTCACCCCAGTAATGTACAAGGTGTCTGCAACCATGGGGATGAGTGGACTTTTTTCTACAGCATGCATATATTTCGGTTTTTTTCTCACCTCTACACAGTCATCCTCAGTGCAGTCCTCCTACGGTGTAGACAGCATCCGCAATGTTATACCATATTTAATTATTTTTTGGTTCATGACGCTGTTCGTAAGTTTGCTTTGAATAATGGAGAGGTTTTCCTCAACTTTTTCCGTTAAGACTACTATTTCAGACGCGCTGAAATTTAGTGTTCGGGCTTTGCGTGAGACCGCAGCGGAAGCCATTGCACAGCTCGCAACTTGCTCACCATGGCAACAGTAAACGAAAAGATTATGATGGGTCGCTAACCACGTCTAACACGAGGTTTACCCCTTTAACCGCGTATTGAGAAACGCTATTTTAACCCTGTGTTAACAAACCTGTGGTTAAGAAAGTTAACTCTCGGTTAGTCCAAAGCTGAGGTTAGTTCAGCCCATCTTTTGAACAACGGGGCCTGGTTAACTGGCTACTTTCGTCTGCTTTGACTGGCTTCTGTGCTTACTTTGGTTTTGGGTTAAACACGCTCTGTTCCGTTAACACAGATATTTCCTTTGGAACGACTGTAATTCGTCCAATGCTCGCAAAAGGTGTCAAAATTTTACGGAGCGATTCCTGATGAGCTGCATGAGAAGCATTGGTTATACACTCCTGGCTACATGTTAAATTGAAAGTTTCTCTGATTAGTTTTCGCTTTGGCGCAGAAAATTTCGTCTTCAATCAACAATTAATCATTGGGATTTAATGATGCTTTTAGTCGTCGCCAGAAGAATGAAATCTTAAGGTCGATGTAAGACATCTGAAGCGGGAAAGGTGGAAACTACTGCGCTAAAATGAGGGAAGCTACACGTGACTATCATGGAGGTCGGACGTGTCTTACTGTCGTCCGTATTTCTTCTATATTTTTCACTTCCTTTACTGTTTTCTGTAACAGTCGCTGAGTCGCAGTATACAGGGAGTTTTTCTCGATATCCCAGGACATTTTGGGACGAAATTAAGTCAAATTTGAACAAATTCAACCTGGATTTGTTACCGGTCCCGATCCACGCGGGCGGCCATTTTGTTTTTTTACCTCGCAAGAAATTCTTTAAGGTAAGACTGGCATACTCCGCGAATTACACAGCATCCTTTGACGCAGTGGAGGTCACCTGAGTACGAAGTGGTGATATTCATCCCCAGCCTGGTCCGGAAAAACAGTCTACTTCACGTGAAAAACGTCACATCACCTTGGCCATTTAAACGCCCGTTCTATCAAGAACAGAAACCTTTTTACTCTTATCAAGGACGTCGTCCTAGCTAAAAAGCTGGATATCCTGTCAGTGAGTCTTGGTTGGACAGCTCCATATCTGACATTGAGCTTGATATTCCTGGCTATGATATTTATCGCCTCGACCGTACTAACAAACTCGGAGGTGGCGTCTGCACTTTCGTAAAACAAAACCTGAAGGTAGAATGTCTGCAACATCTATCATCTATTGCAAGCTCATACCTCCACCAACTGTGGCTAAAAATCCAAGCTGGTAATTGCAGATCTTTCCTTATATGTACAGTCTATAGGCCTCCGTCAGCACTTGATTGCTTTGACAATGAGTTATGTGATGCCCTAATTTCCGCGATGCCGATGAACAAGCCTGTTTACATCTTGGGTGACCTAAACTGCAATTTGTTAAACTCATTTGATCCCGCTTCTCAAGCCCTCGTTAATTTCTGTACGTCCTTTAATTTATCTCAGTTGATAAGACAACCTACAAGAGTTACGGAGTCGTCTGCAACCTTCCTTGATGTTATTATGACCTCCCATGAAAACTCAGTCATTGACATAAAAGTTATGCCTTCTTCCATCAGCGACCACGATTTAATCTATGCCGTTCTTAAACTAAAATGGCAACATCCTAAGCCAGTATATATTACGACAAGGAGTTTTAAGAACTACCAGCAGAGTGCTTTTCTCTGGGATATTTCAACGGTTCCTTGGTGCATCGTCGATTGCTTTGATGACATTGACGATAGCCTTTACGCTCTCAACACACTATTCAATGAAGTCCTAGACAAACATGCACCAATCAAAAAAGTTAAGATTCGAGGCAGACCCATTCCTTACATAACTGACGAGATCAGAGAGCTC